CGGGGAGCGCCGGGCGCGCGGAACTACAGCTCCCCGGCGTGCCCCCGCGCGCGCCGCGCCAGCCGCCGCCATTTTGTGCGCTCCGCCGTTAGGCCGCGGGGCACGCCGGGAGGTGTAGTCCGGCTGAGCCGGGGAGGCCGGGGCCGGCAAAGGGGCAGTAGGGGTACGGCGCGACTACAGCTCCCAGGAGGCACCGCGGCAGCCGCACAGCCCATTGGGATGCCCACTACGCGGCTCAGGGCAAAGGGCGGCTGGGCCCGTCGGGACTCTAGTTCCCATGAGGCGCCGCGGCAGCCGCACAGCCCGCTGGGTAACCATCAGCCCGCGGCATAGGGGGTGGGGACAGGTGACGATGGGCATACCGCTCCCGGCATGCCCCGCGCCGAACGCCGCCATTTTGTTCGCTCGACAGTGGGGCCGCGGGGCATGCCGGGAGGCGTAGTCCGGCCAGGCGGGACTGCCGCTCCCATGGGGCCCCGCGGCGGGCGCAAGGCCTGCTGGGATATCCCCCGGCCGGCGGAGGGTGGTGGGGCTGGGCCCGTGAGGACGCTGCCTGCCGCCATTTTGATCGCTGGGGACTGGCTGGGTCCCTGCCCTCCTCCTACCACTGCAGTCTGTTATCGTAGGGTCCCTCGCACGCCCGTCTGTTATCGTAGGGTCCCTCGCACGCCCGTCTGTTATCGTAGGGTCTCGCACGCCCGTCTGTTATTGTAGGGTCCCTCGCACGCCCGTCTGTTATCGTAGGGTCCCTCGCACGCCCGTCTGTTATCGTAGGGTCTCACGCACAGCAGTCTGTTATCGTAGGGTCCCTCGCACACCGGTCTGTTATCGTAGGATCTCACGCACACCGGTCTGTTATTGTAGGGTCCCTCGCACACCGGTCTGTTATTGTAGGGCTGTGTTGTTATTGTAGGGTCTCACACACACCGGTCTGTTATCGTAGGGTCCCGCACACACACTGGTCTGTTACCGTAGGGCTGCATGCGCTGCGTTGTTATTGTGGGGTCTCGCACACCGGTCTGTTACCGTAGGGCTGCATGCGCTGTGTTGTTATTGTGGGGTCTCGCACACTGGTCTGTTACCGTAGGGCTGCATGCGCTGCGTTGTTATTGTGGGGTCTCGCACACCGGTCTGTTACCGTAGGGCTGCATGCGCTGCGTTGTTATTGTGGGGTCTCGCACACCGGTCTGTTACCCTAGGGTCACTACTGAACCCGGCCTTTCTTGGGTCCCAGCTGTTTAACCAAGTCCCAGAACTGGCTTTCCCAGGCGCTCCCCACTCTGCCCCCATTAAAGACCCGTTCCAGGGGAAAGGGGCGGGCTCTGTAGCTCACACGGCCCAAGCACACCATGGAAAGAAAGAAATGCTTTGAGTCGGGATGGGGAGGAACTACCTTGCCCAGTATGCCCTGGGCTAGAGCCTGCTGCATTCTGGGAGTTGTAGTTCAGCTGGCGCAGAAGGCCTCAGAAATAGCTTGACTCTTGGAGGGGAGGGTTCGGTTAGATGACTTATCCCAACATGCCCTGGGTGGGATCCTGTTGCATTGTGGGAATTGTAGTTCAGCTGCACCAGCGTGGCCTTCTCTATAGTTCCGAGTTACTTTAACTAATTACCCACCCCCAGGCAAGGGTTCACCTTTCCTGTCATCGGAGAGAGTTCAACCCCAGGGTCGCTGGCGGTAGCCAGGTTCTCAATAGACGGGGGACGCAGAGACGCCTCAACGCTCTTTCGGCCAGAGCTCCCTTCACTAGCCAGCCAGCCCCCAACACACACTGCAGCCTGGGCCTGGACAGAGCGTCAGTCATCCTCTTCCTTCTCCTCCTCGTTGTCACCATCTCCAGCCTCCCCTGTGACCACCATCCTGGCGTTCTCTCCAGGAGACCACTTTTATCACCTGGTACGCTGATGCCCACTGGGGTTCAGACCTACTGGGGAAGGTTTGACCCCTTTTCCTCCTTTGAACATCCAGCCCCCGCAACGTGTGGGTTGCCCCCGTTTCCTATCGGCAAATTCGTTAGTTCCCTTAACACATGAACGCTGATGTCACCTGATCACCACAGGCACAGTTGGTTGCCTCGAGGAAGTCTTGAACGTTTCACTCCAGCCACCAACAGTCATCCTGTGGTGTCAGCAGTTCTTCTCAAAGCATCAGCAGATCATAAACACAGACACAAGCTCAGCAGGTTTATCATCATCGGACTTACGCTAACGTATCTTCATATTATAGCTCACTTATCCTAAGGCAGAGATTCTCAAACGTTCTGCCTGGGACCCCATTTTGAGACCTGACCCCAGACAGCAACAAAGTTAGGCACGTGCTCTTTGCAAGAATCGCTCGCAGGAACTTTCGATGAGCTGTTCGATTTCAGCTACCGGCAAATCCACGGCATCGGGCTTGCGCTGAAAGGGGTTTCGTGCCGAATCATACTTTCCCGTTCCCAAGTTGGGAGGAAAAGGAAACAAATTCTTTCTCCAGCCGGCCGAGATGCCCAGTCATCACCTGTGCGGGAGGCTGAATAATTTTCTGCAAAGCTGCAGGAAGGATTCGTACTTAGTCTTCAATAGATTATTCTTCCCAAAAACAATTTGAGTCACGGATCCTGTGGCCGATCACTCAGCTGAAGGACCTGGGTGTTTTTTCCTTGCAGACCCGTGTTCCGTTCTTTCTGTTTCCCACAGGTGCCCGTGACATAGGCAAAAAGACGCATCTTATTTTAGTCACATAGAAAATCCATGATCCCACTCTCTTTGCAGTCCATTGCATAGGCACGCAGCATGTCGCCGTTCAGAAAATCGTCCCAGGGCTCTCCAGCAACACAGCGGGATTGGACCTCCTGCCTTCACCCAGTTTTGCAAACAGACGTGCACAAAGAGACTGAATCGTGCTGTAGTTCATCGGTGCAAACACCCACCACACAATCACATGGGATGTTTTTGTCTTGCGTGTGCCCACGTGGCGCATCAAACATTCCTTGTGCCGTCTCGTGTCGGGAAGAGGGAGACAGAACAGAACGTCTTCGAGAGTTGCACCCTCCCAGGTGTTATTTCACAAAAGCCAAGAAATGTGCATGAGGACCCCTCAGTGCTCGCATCAACCTGAAGCACCTGCGTTTTTCAGACGCTCCATCAGTGCGTTTTCCTGAGCTGCTACTATCATCTCAATCCTTTGTTCCACTGTGTTATTGGAGAGTGGTGTGGCTTTGAGTTTGTTTGCCTCCGTTTGCCCACATGTTATCATCATCATGTCGATTGCAGCTGGCAAAGTCAAAGTCTCTCCAGTTCACTGAGGCTTCTTGAACCTGTGCGATGTGATAACTCACCTCAGTGTAGGGTGACCAGACAGCAAGTGTGAAAAATCGGGACGGGGATGGGGGGTAATAGGATCCTATATAAGAAAAAGACCCCAAAATCGGGACTGTCCCTATAAAATCGGGACATCTGGTCACCCTACCTCAGTGGATACCTTCTGAGCGCAGTCAGAGACGGATTTGACTGTCTTGAATTGCATTTGTTGACCTGAAAGTTCTTCTTTCCAGCGCTGGAGAAATGACCTTGGTGTTCCTTGTGAAGGGTTTCCAAGTGTCATTTAAGTTTAGTGGGCTTGATGCTTTTGCTATATAATACCGGGTGACGTAGCAGGCGTCCGGCCTTTCTTCGTGCTTGACCAAGCCACCAGTGAAGCCATATTCAAAGAAAGCCTGGTCATATCTGGGAGCACGTTTCTTGGACTTTTGGTTTTCGTTCATGACTTGATTTTCATTTCAACCGCATAACTACACCTGCTGCTGGAGGCTGAAGTAGATACTCTGCATAAAAATAATGCCTCAAATCACAAATCAGAAAGAGGAATTCATTGACAAGCAAATGCAGCCAGGACTTAGGAAGGCCTGTGTGGTGATATCAGGTCACCACGGAGACACGGATTCCAGTCGGGTACTCAGGGTGCCATAAAAGAAGATAAGGGCCCTGCCTTAAGGCGCTTGCAAACCGCTGCAGATTCCTGTCTCGGAAAAGGCCAGCCCAGGCTCCTACCAGCTCGAGCAAAGAAGATGCTCTGTTGACGAGGCTGCTGCTCACACATAAGGATTTTCTGGATTCACGTCCCTCGGCTGGATGGTGCCAATGGCCAAATCGGAGTCTGCACAGCCACCTCTGCACAGCCACCATATCCAGGCCTGCTCCCCAAACGCATTTTGACCTACAAAATGGCGACCTCTGCGCAATGTGACCTCATACTGTATTGGCGCAGCATTTGTGGAACAGGTCTGGGCGTGTTCGGGGGCTGACGGCATCATCTCTCCGGCTGCAACTGGCCCGTTGGACCCACAACACCACCTGCTGATGGTGCAACCCCATTTGGAGTCGTGACCCACGGGCTGGGAACTGTTGTCCTGAAGCCTGATTTGGCTAAGCTAAATATCTTACAAGCCTCAGGCCCGTAGGCCCTGTGTTACAACATGAATCACTACCTATATTCAGCTCTATGGCCTAAATATACCTGATACCTTTTATCCTTGACTACGCTAGGCACCCCAGGAATTTCAACTGAGTCCCTGAGAGAGAGGGGGCATGAACTACATTTCCCAGCATGCATGGGCTGGAGCCTATTGCATTGTGGGAGTTGTAGTGGAATGTTAACCTGTATTATACCGTTCAGCCACAAGGCGGGGCGGTGTGTAAAATACCTTATTCAAACTAACCTCAGCCATACCTGAGAATCTTCTGAATAGGGCCCTGCCAAATTCACGGCCATGAAAGACACGTCACAGACAATGAAATCTGATTTCACGGGGGAGATCAGCATTTCTCAAATTGCGGGTCCTGATCCAAAAGGGAGTTGCAGGGGAGTACCACGGTTATTTTAGGGGGTGCACTATTGGCACCCTTACTTCTGCGCTGCCTTCAGAGCTGGGTGGCTGGAGAGTGGCGGCTGTTGGCCGGGCGCCCAGCTCTGAAGGCAGCACCCCACCAGCAGCAGTGCAG